ATTTATTACTATTATTTACTACTATTATTTATCACTGTTACTTATTACTGTTGCTTATTACTGTTATTTGTTACTAATATTTATCAGTATTATTTATCACTATTATTTACCACTGTTATTTATTACTATAATTTATAGTATAATTTATAGTAATAAATTACAGTGGTAAATAATTGTGATAAATAATACTGGTAAATAATTATTTACCAATAATACTGGTAATTATTAACCACTGTTATTTGTTACTATTATTTATTAGTTTAAGACTAGTTACCACAAATTAATCCACAATCTAATAATACCGAAAATACCGGAGAGCAAATGCAGGCGCGCAGGAAAGAGTCAGAACCACCCGGAAACGAACCGCAGCAGAATCTTCTGAGCCCCAGTGATCTTTCCATTCCCATGTCACGAGTACAGAAGCATGTGATTTTGTTGTGATTTAGCAAGTGTGCCGAATGTATTTTTGTCCGTTCTGCATTCGTTGTGTTGCATTTCGTTCCTTGCCCAGCCGCCCGGAATTTCGACTGTATTTTTAATGTATTTTGTTTAATAAAATTGTGTTGGTTCGCCCCGAGTCTCTGACAGGAACAGCCAGCGTCAGTGTCGTTTCCAGCTTCGCTCATCTTCACGCCAAAATCATCATCTAGCCTAAGCGTAACAGTGAGACAACCAATCCCTGTACGATTCGTTGCGATACTACTAGAGAGATATTAGTGGTTCTTGCGGTGTCTTCGTCTCCTGAAATGATTACCGACGCATTTGGCACTCACAGTAGAAGGATTTTGGCCAGGTTTTATTGTAATTTTAATTTTAGATGATGTGTGTTTATGTAAAAAGTAAAGGTTTAAAAGGAAGGGAATAAAAGGAAAGTGGATAAGATAAATAGGAATAAAAACCTGAACAGGAATGTTTCGGTCCATCAAGTCGCATACAACTGGACCTCGTCAGTGTGACGGTTGCAGCAAAAATAACATGCAAAGTGTCAAAAAGAAAAAGGAAAATTTTGATAATGTAAAATGGTTAGAGCAAAGCCATTTTAGCCATTTGCGGATTTAGGGGTTTTTGTTGAGTGTTAGTACCAAATCTCCAAGCTTTAACATTCCCAGGCCATGTTAAGGTGTTTTTTTTTCTTCTCCCGAAAGAAGGTTGCTTATGATATTTTGCTTAAAATAAACAAAAATTGGTTCTTTTTCTTCAGCTATCGTTGGTGATGAAAAGTTTGGAGTTCGATTTGCATGCAGCCACTGCCGCCGATGATTTCTCAGCATTCGGATGTGAATTATTCTCATCGCCAGCCCCATCGTGCAACGATGATTCGGAAATGTGTTGCAGCAGCAGCAGTACCACTGAAGTAAACACTTCTCGCTTTCCCATTTTCCATATGTGCAAAAACTGATACACACACATAAACACCACACACACACACACACACACACACACACACACACACATACACATGCACACTCACATACAGTTATTTGTAAAGAATCATCCTAGAATCCGGAAGGAGTTTTGATTTTTGACAGGTAGTACTGCTCCTGTAAATGCTATTGGACTTCGCGCTGTTCTTTTGGTAAACGAGTAATGATGAAGACTAGAACAGGGATATTTTGGGGATCCTAGAGCTTCTTTTAGAGAAGTGGGAGGGGGGGGGGG